GAGGCAGGATCTTCCTGTGTTCCCAGGCTTGTCTTAAACCTGCATCAGACTCCCAAGTGTAATTAAGAACTATTGACATATATATTTGTGAGGATTTTTTTTTTAGTCTTTTTGAGACAGGTTCTCCCTGTAGCACCAGCTGGCCTGGACCTCACTATGTAGACCTGGCTGGCCTTGAATTCACAGAGATCCACCTGCCTCTGCCTCCCAAGTGCTGGGACTAAAGGCATACACCACCACACTGGGCTATGAAATAATTTCTTAAAGGAACCCTAAATTGCGCTATAGACTTACCCCAAGAGGCCTGAGGATAGTAGTGCAGGCCTTTTTAGAATTTTTGAGACAGGTTCTCCCTGTAGCACCAGCTGGCCTGGACCTCACTATGTAGACCTGGCTGGCCTTGAATTCACAGAGATCCACCTGCCTCTGCCTCCCAAGTGCTGGGACTAAAGGCATACACCACCACACTGGGCTATGAAATAATTTCTTAAAGGAACCCTAAATGTTATACACAAACTATAACTGCAGATTATATGCAATAACAGAGTTGAACAAAAAATGTGTAGTGGTATGAAATACAAGTTTGCAGTCTAGTTCATTTTTGTGAGAGATGAAGGTAGCATCTACCATACATCTGCTTCTATATCAAGGTAGCCCTACTCACCAGTGTTTCTAGGAAACAATGATTGATGCTTTGATTCCTACCTCCTGAAGGTTGGATGTCAGGGATGCTTTGATCACCACAACACCATCTTTCAGAGCTTTTACCACATGGTAAGATCCATTTGCAGTACTTAGTTGCTCTTCAAAGTACTCATTCAGAAACTGGAATTTAATCTTGAGATTCTGAAATCAGTCCAACCACAACACAGATCGGAAGATATACTCTTTCCCTAAAGCCATTTCAATTCCAAAGCGTATACAAAACTGTAGCTATGCATTCAAGGGATAAAGACATAAGGACACAACTTCATGGAGATTCTAAGCTGGAAAAGATGTAATTTTTAAATTGTATTCATTTTGGAAAGATTCGCTAATTCAAAGCATCAGGAATAGAAAGAGTCAAAATTTGTGTCACTCCATAAATGAAGTTCTCAGGAATAGTTCTCAGTTTCAAGAACATTCAGTCCTGGGGCGTGAGCATGTTTCCCACCTGATGTTCACTCTCACTATCACAGACAGAACCGTGATGAGCACCTCGGCATCGAGTGGGCAGAGCAAGGCTCCTCACCAGTTCACCACCAGTGCTTTCTCCAATCCCTTTATACTTCTGATCATATTATTGTTTAACTTCCAGTTCAGCATTCCCCAAGGACAGAACTAGTTAATAATAACAATCAAAACTAATAACTTGTATTTACAAAGGTAAAAACTTGGAGCAAAAGAAATAGGCTTTTTTTCTAAATGGATGGCCCTCTCAAGGAGCTATCCACATAGGGAACTAAGAAAACATAAATTAGGGTGGGGTGGGGCTGGCTTGGGAGAGTGCTTGTCTAGCTTGCATGAGGCTCTGGATTTGATTCCTAGAACCACATAAAACTGGACATGGTAGCACATGTAATCCTAGCACTTGGGAGGTAGAGGCAGAAGGATCAGGAGTTAAGGCTACAGCCTGGGCTGGAGATCCTGACCCCCAAAAGGAAACAAAAAAATAAGAGACTCACATCTGAAACATAAACCTTTGTGCTGCTTTTATCAAACACTTCTGCTGTGACAACATATACCTGTCCCACCTCTAGGCTCCATCGACCTCCAGGCTGAATGGTAAAACCTGTGCACAAAGCAGGAAACAAACTTATTAGCAGAGGTCAACATTTTTGTATAATGACCTGAAAATTACAAACTTAAAAAGCTAGTGTTGGGCGTGGTGGCACTCACTGTTAATCCCAGCACTCGGGAGCACTCGGGAGGCAGAGACAGGCTGATCTCTGCGAGTTGGAGAGTGGCCTGGTCTACATAGTGAGTTCTAGGCCAGCTGAAGCTACAGGGAGACCCTGTCTCAAAAAGACCAAAAAAAAAAAAAAAAAAAGCTAGTTGAGCTAGGTGTGGTGCATACACCTTTAATCCCAGCACTCAGGAGGCAATGGCCTGCAGATCTATGTGAGATTGAGGCCAGCCTGGTGTTCTGGGCCCACAGGGGAGACTTTGTCTCAAAAAGACAAAAATTAACTAATTAATTAATTAAAATCTATTTGAGAATCAAAACTTGCCAAGTTTTGATAAAGATGGTTTGGATGAAGATGGTTTCCAAAACAGATCTTTTCAATTTTCTCCCACAAATTGTATAATTTAGAGCTCCAAAATTCTTAGTTGAATTTAGTTGCTTTTAAGTATAAAGAAATGGGGCTGAAGAGATGGCTCAGTGGTTAAAAGCACTGACTGCTCTTGCAGAGGACCTGGGTTCAATTCCCAGCACCCACATGGTGGGTACGAATCATCCTTAACTCCAGTTCCAGGGGAACCCGAAGCCCTCTTCTGACCTCCCCAACATTGCATGACACGGGTGCACTCACATACATACAGGCAATACACCTGTGCACTAAAAATAATAAAATACTTTTAAAAAACACTGACATATGTGCAGACAGAACAAAGCACAATCCTCCCTTGCACTACACACCAGTTAGACTCCTTGCTTCAAATCACCCAAGGACATTTTGAAATTCTTTTTTCTTAAATAAAACCTCTTTTTCTAACTCAAAGATTAGATTACATGGATTGTCATGTTGTTTCACAACCTGGCTTTTTTTTTTTCTTTCTTTCTTCAGTTTTTGAGACAGGGTCTCACATAGCTAAGAATGACCCCAAACACACATAGCTGAGGGTGACTTTGAACTCCTGAACCTCCTGCTTCCACCTCTCAAGTGCTAGGATTACTGGAGCACATCACCAAGCTTGAATTCTTTTTAAACATATTTTAATTTTTCTTTCACAATTTCATGTGTGTGTGTGTGTGTGTGTGTGTGTGTGTGTGTGTGATCACCACCCCCGTCCTATAGAACCCTTTCTTCATCTCCTATTTTCATGCCTTTGTTTTTTTGTGTGTGCCCCACTGCATTTAATTGGGGTTGCCTGCATGAGCAGGGATGGGGATTAGTTACTTGAGCAAGGGCAACCTACCAGTGTCTACACCTCTAAGGAATGAGACTGACCTCCCACAGCAACCAATAATTATCTATAGCTCCTCAGAGAGGGGTGGAGCCTCATGAGCTTCTCCCTCACCCCTAATTGAATATTGATGAAGCCAGGAGTTATTTTTAGTCTGGAATTCACAGTGTGGTCCAGGCTTGCCTCAAACTGGCAATTCTCTTACCTCAATCGCCCAAGTGCTGGGATTATAGGCATGTGCATCCATGCCCAGCCCCACAATCTGTTTTAAGATGTTTCACTCATATAAATAGCATTTAATCAGGACACATCATTGCAGAAAACACATGAATGTCATGTTGAATTTGAGTTAGTTAAGTCTCAAAATAAAGGCTGAGACTTTGGCAGGCCTCACATTTTTAATGTATTCACTTTTACTGGAACCATCTAAATTGTTCACATTTCTGAAAGCCATTATCTAAAAATACCTAAAAATCCAGGCTCTACAACATATATGGTGCAATTTGGGAGTCCAGACATAGATCGCATATGGACATCTTAATTTCTCTTAAGGAAATTATCTGTGCCAGAGTTGGGTAGGAAGAGAATGGTGAGTCTTTGACGGAAAAAATAAATAAATAAAACAAATATTCAAACAAAAACACAAAACAGTATGTCTTTCATTCTTTGGAAAGCCAAAATTTTAATATGTATATATCTGAGACAAATCTGAGGCAGGCCCAGCAAGATGCCTCAGCAGGTAAAGACACTTGCTGCCAAGCCTGATGACCTGAGTTCAATCCTGGAGATCCACAAAGTTCTCCTCCAAGTTCTAACCCTAACCCTAAGCCTGTCCCTAACGAATTCCTCCAAGCTGTTCCCTGACCTCAGCACATGTACAGATATACACACATAAATAAATCCAATGAAAAAAATTTTTAAGTCTGAGGCATAGTCATCACAAGAATCAAGTATGAAATGGAAGGAGTGTGATTTTAAATTTTGTTTAGATGAAGAACACTTCTTGAAATATGTTCTCACATAGGAGCCCAATATAGAATGCAGAAAAACGTGGTTCCATTCTGGAGAAAGAGAGAGACTTGTCTGAAGAGATGAACAATGGTGGTGAATGTGGAAATGGGGTAGGACTCGCCACTCAGTAACATGCCTAGGGCTCTGCAGCTTCAAAATCAGTAGCTGTTTTTCTGTTATCTGCAGCAAATCTTTAATACCAAGCTGGGTTTTTTTTTAATATTTTATTTTTTATTATTTTTACTTTATGTGTATGAGTGCATTGCCTGCACGTCTGTGAGTGCACCCGCGTCGTGCAATGCCGCGGAGGTCTGAAGAGGGCTTCGGATTCTCCTGGAACTGGAGTTAAGGATGGTTTGTGGCCACCATGTGGGTGCTTGGGAATCAACTCAGGTCCTCTTCAAGAGCAGTCAGTGCTCTTAACCGCTGAGCCATCTCTCCAATCCCTGCCAAGCTGTTTTTAATTTGCCATCAAAAATTCTTCTAGGGGGGCTGGAGAGATGGCTCAGCGGTTAAGAGCACTGACTGCTCTTGCAGAGGACCCGGGTTCAATTCCCAGCACCTACATGGCAGCTAAGACCCGTTCTTAACTACAGTTCCAGGGGAATCCGAAGCCATCTTCTGACCTCCGCCGCACTGTACAGCACGGGTGCATTCACATACGTGCAGGCAATACACTCATACACATTAAAAAAAGATCCTTCTATGTCATGTATACATTAGGTAAATTCAGTTGCCTTCTGGTAGAAATAGCTACCTGTCCCAGTATCAGCCTGTACAAAATCTAATTAGGAATATGCTTCTCTCAGAAATAAACTGTGTCTAAAAGCTCTGTGGGCAGAGCGCTTGCCAAAATGTATGAAACCCTGGGTTTAGTCCCCAGCACTGCCTAAACCACATGCCTGTAATCCCAGCAGGCAGGAATTTAAGGTCTGCATAGCAAATTTGAGGGAAGCCTGGGATACCTGAGACCTAAAAAACAAATAAATAAACTGAATAAACCAGATGAATAAATAAAAGCTTCAAAGCATTAGTGATGTTGCTCAGCTGTAAAGGCCCTGGATTCTGTCCCCAGAACTGAGGTGGGGAAAGTCTGTGATTTAGGTACATTAAATAGGCTTAGTGACACATACGTTCAGGAGGTAGAGGCAGGAAGATTTCAAATTCATAGCTATCCTGGGCTACATAGTAAGCTCTAGGCAAGCCTAAGCTTACACAGCAAGACATTGTCTCAAAAAACCAACTAAGCAATCAACTGAACATACAAAAAACTAAAAAGAAGTTCACATACTCTGAATTATATATATAACATCCATATTATACAAGTATACATATGTGTACATATGTATGTAGATAATTGGCATATTAATTGATTACTTTTGCCTATTCATTATAGCAAACTGAAAGACTGTTTAAACAACTGTGTCAACCCTAGCTTGGGTTCTGACATGTACTTGAACTGTCATAAAATCTAAGCACTAAAATGAAATTCAAAAACACAGTATTCCCTTCCTTTTACAGATGAGGAAACAGCTGACAGGCTTCTATATTCATTCCTGTTATCAGCATAAATACCTTACCCTCCAGCTAATCCACCAATGGTCTTCTGAATCTCGTTTTGGCCTTGTCTACCAGGAAACTTGCTCCATCAACTGCTTTCATTGCTCTCATATCTCCACCATCCTTCTGTTTAACTTACAGACATCTTCAAATTTCTCTTATCTTAAAACGTTCTCTTGGACTGGGAATGTAGCTCAGTTGTTAGACTGATTGCCCAGCATGAATGAAACTCTGAGTTCCATTCTCAGCGCCACATAAGCCTAAAGTGGTGGTATATGCCTGTAATCCTGGCACGTGGGAAGTAGAGGCAGAAGGATCAGAAATTCAAGGTCATCATCACCTACATTGAGAATTCAAGGCCAGCCTGGGCTATATGATACTCTCTCTCAAAAAACAAAAGTTCATATCTTTTTAAAATTTCTATACTGTGTTTTTCTTTCCTTCTTTTGAAAACCAAGCCAGTTTTACTGACAAAATGTCCCAGATTTCCTACTACTATAGTCTGAGTTTTGTTTTGATTTTGTGTGTCTGTGTGTATATGTTGTGTTTTGTTTTAATGTGTATGAGTGTTTTGTCTGCATGTATGTAAGTACACTACATGTGTGTATAGTGCCTACAGAGGCCAGAAGAGGGCATCAGATCCTATAGGCCAGAATTACAGATGTTTGTGAGCAGCCATGTGGGTACTGAGAAGTGAGCCTGGGTCCTCTGCAAGAACAGCCAGTGTTCTTAACTGTTGATCCATCTCTTCAGCATTTTGGGTTTTATTTTTTGAGATAGGGTCTTGTATAGCTATAGTTGGTCTAGAACTCACTATGTAGACCAGGTTGGCTTTGACTATGCAACAATATTCCCAGGCCCAGAAATTTTTTCTCTTCTTTATGGTAGTAGGGATTGAGTCCAGGCTCAAATAGGCTGGAAAAGCACTTTATATTGAGCCAGGTCCTATGTGCCTAATCTTACTGAGATCTCCATTCTCTATAAATTCCTCACTTGGTTATCATGAAATTTTTCACTTCTGGCTTTCCTACAACTTTTTTCCTGCATGCTAGAACCCTGCACGCTAGGCAAGGGTTCTACCATTGTACTACTATAGCACTCCAACCCATCAAACCATCCCTACTTCTTTTTTGTTGTTGTTTTGTTTTGTTTTTGAGACAGGGTTTCCCTATGGCCCCAGCTGGCCTGGAACTCACTATGCAAACCAGGATGGCCTCAAACTGATGGAGATCCACGTGTCTTTGCTTCCTGAGTACTGGGACGAAAGGTATGTGCCACTAAGCCCAGCCCCAACCCTACTTTTCTGGGCCTCCTTTACAGCTCATTTTCTTCCATATTAGAACTCTGTCTCTGATCAACCTTTCCTCTCTATATGCTTTTCCCTAAGTGATTTTAGCAGCAACAGCTTCAACTATCACCCACTTATAAACTAATAACTTTCAAATATCTATATTTGTCTTGAATATTTTCCTCTAGTTATACATTCAACTTTTTTGCTTGGGCATCTGCCCATGGGTACTTCAGGTCAACATGTGGTAAAATGAACTCATTATCTTTTCCCTTAAAGCTACTGCTCTTAAATTGCCATCTCCATAAACAGTTCCACTAGCCACCCTGTGCTAGATGGAACAAACTGAGTAGTCACCATCTATGTCCTCAAAAATGACAAAAATAAAGCCCGGTGGCACATGACTGTAATGTCAGCACTTGGGAAATGGAAACAGGAATAACAGGTTTAAGGTCATCCTCAGCTTTGTGAGTTTGAGGCCAGAGCGAACTGGGCACATTGGTTCAAGGGCTCAAGTCTTTAATCCCAGCACTTGGGAGGCAGAGGCAGGAGAATCTCTGTGAGTTCAAGGCCAGCCTGGTCTACACAGCAAGTTCTAGGTCAGCTGGGGCTACAGGGAGACCCTGTCTCAAAAAGACCAAGATAGGCAAAACCGATGACTGGAATTTCCAGAAAGTTGTCCTCTGACCTTTATACACATACCATGGCATAAATATGCCCATACTCACTCACATATGCATACACACTAATAATAAAAATTTTAAAAGCAAAAAGAAAACAAAAAAGAAAACAATATAAGAAGGTATTTTAATATTTTTACCTATGAAGTAAATACAATTATGAACTGAGAATAGAAAAAAAATTATCATATACTTCTCCCAGAGAATTTGGTCTGTACTGGGGCTCAATAAACATTTGGTGACTTAGTTTCTTCTGTAGGTAAAATTGTGTTTGCTTTGTTTTGTTTGGGGGGGGGGTGTTGGTCTTTTAAGACAGGGTCTCCGTGTAGCCCAGCTGGCTTGGAACTCATCGTGTAGACTAGGCTTTCCTGAACTCACAGAGATCCTCCTGCCTCTGCCTCCCCAGTGCTGAGATTAAATGTATGCGCCACCACGCCTGGCCCTAAAACTGTGTTTGTTAAAAGACATCCTGGACACCTTAAAATGAATGAAAGCTGGGTGTGATGGCTTATGATGCAATCCCAGCATTTGGAAGGCTGAGGCAGGAGGAATACTATGGGTATAAGGCCAGCTTTGCCTATGTAGTGAGTTTGAAGCCAGCCTGGGATTCATGTGACCCTGTCTCAGAAACAAAAAAGCTGGAGAGATGGCTCAGTGGTTAAGAGTACTTGGATTCGGTTCCCAGCACCCACATAGCAGCTAATAATGGTCTGTAACTCCCTTTCTGGGGAATCCAATGCCCTCCTCTGATCTCCTCAAGTTTGCATGCACAGCATGCACTTACATACAAGCTTTGCAATTACTATTTCCTCTTCCTGAAGCTTTTTACCAGGTATCAATGACTCACTGCTCTCACATCCCTAACTAGCCCAGTAAAGTAACAGTCTGTGTCCCTAGGGCTTTACTGCTGAGCAAACAACAGGAACAGAACTGGTATTTACCAAATGAGTTATTTTCAGATTCAAATATGCAAAAATAGGAAATATTTCCAAATCACACACTGAGAATTAAAGTCCAAACCATATTTCAATTTTCTGAGAATTTAAATCTTTGTTGTTTGTTTTCTTTGATTATAATAGAGCTCTATGTACCTTTTTGTTTAGTACTTATAGAGCAGGCTTAGCAAATTAAGAATTATTCTCACCAAGTGTGGTGCTGTATGCCTTTAATCCCAG